GCCGGAGGGAAAAGGAGAATAGAGACGGAGGATAAACGCCCGGAGGAACGAGGAGAAATGTGGAAGGATTTAAGAAGGGGAAAGCATCGATTACTTTTCTTGACCTGGACAATATCCTCGTTTCCGACTCTATTACTCATGACCACCGCACTTTTATATCTCCTTTACTTCGAGACATGATACGCTTTTGTATTCCTATATTATTATGCTATTAGGGTATAAGGATTATTTTTTTTTGTAATCTAGACTAAGTGTAGTTGAGGGAGGATTGTAACGGCTGCTTTAGACGTCTGAATAAATTATGTATAAAATTGAAGGAACGTTGCAAATTGCATCGATAAAATTTAGAAGAAATGAGGCAAAACTTGTCTCTAAAATAACTGTCTTTAGATACTTAGCTAATATTGCATTTACCAAATGAACGAGGGAGGGATGTAAAAGTTTTTCGTGTAGGTGCTTCAGGACTCCGAATAAATCAAATGTAAAATTGATGGAACAATAAAGCAGAAAGATCTAAGACAAATCTAAAATTTATCTTTGAGATAACTGTCTTTAGATACTTAGCTGTATTACATTTTCCAATTGTTAATTCTCCAGGCAGTCTCATAAGTAGACTGCGGATCTTTATGGAAAATGAAATCTTTGCGAACGTGACTACAAAAATTGAATCTAAATAGGAATTTATTTTATTCTGCAAATGTTGTAACATGAACTTTACTTTCAATCCTTTTTATATTCTTGCACATTGTTTGGGTTTTGTAGGTTCTTGCGCATTCAAATTGCCTATGAATGCATAAAGATCGGCAGTCTACTCATAAGTATTCATACCTTCTATGTACGTTAACCCTTAGAAGCCTGATTTCCCAAATTAAATTTAAGAGAGAAAGAGAGAGAGAGAGAGAGAGAGAGAGAGAGAGAGAGAGAAAGAGTACAAGTGAAAATTAGTGTGTCTGATCTTTTTAACTTTTGTTCAAAAGAACATTATGCAACGGTAACATCCATACAAGCAAATATTAAAAACAAACCAATTGCTAGTGTACAATTCGATTGGAAAGTCTGCTATCAAATTTGAAACTGAAGAAATCAGAAGACAGAAGAAATCTGTCTACATTAAATGATGAGCTTGATATTTCCAAATAGATGTTTCATGACAAATATTTACACAAACATTTTCACATATATATGTTTATAATGAATATTTATTTGGGAACATCAAACCTATCATTTAATTTAGACAAATGCTTTAATAGAGATAGCAAGTTTTAATAGACATTCAAGCTACAAAGTTTAACAAATTTAGAAACTCCAAAGTAAATAAACTCTCAAAAAAAGTAATGCTACGAATCCACGCAAACCCATCGCGAAAAAAGAGAATCCTTCGGAGTCCCGAGAAATCGGAAAGTTCGTCAATTGGGCGAGAATTGCCATCGTCTAAATATCAATTTACGAGGGTGGAGAACGACCTCGGGTAAGAAAAGCTCACCAGCATCCCGTTTCCTTTCCCGCCAGCGGCTGTCCCAGCGATATCCAGAGTGGAGTGCTTCCTTTGGGATTTTCCGCCTTCGACTCTCCATCAACCGCCACTTTCCTCCTCTCTTTCTCTCTTCCGCTTTCGAGCCGGTGCAAAGCGGGCACTCTCCCTCGCCCGTTTTAACCCTCTCTCTCTTTCGCTCGCCCATGGTCCCGAGGCGGCAAGCAAAGAACTCTCCTACCCTCCGGGTCGCCGGCACTGATTTTCTACCCTCCACACCCGTCCCGTTCCGCCGAACCGCACCCCCGCGAGCCACCGTTTTCCCCGGTACACCTTCGTTCCTCCCCCGACCACGCAGCGTCACTCGTAGTCACGCTGCCAACACGTGCTCCTATTTACCTCTCGAATCACATGGTCCGGGGACGCGGCACGGCCGACGTGTGCCGCGAGAGGGAGAGAGGCGGCAGAAGGGGGCGGGAGGGGGTTCACTGACGGTGTCATTTCATCGAAAATACCTGGGACGCGTATGCGCACGCTGGTTAATTGCTTTCATGACGAGTGCATGCGTGCTCGACACGCGGCACGCCGCGTACTACGCGATTCGGGGATAACTCGCGGGACGATTTAGATCGGGCGATATGGATTCTTTTGGGTGCACTCGAGGGGAATTCGCACTTGGAGGTTTATTATTTTTTTTTAAGAAACGGAGCAGGGGCGAGTGAAAATTAGGGTGTATGGCTTTTTTGGTAGGAGTAGGTTAAATATTTTATATTGGGGGTAGGATCGAAGGGGTAGTTTTTTGTGTGGATTTAGGAGGAATTCGCACTTGGAGGTTTATTGTTTTGAAGAGAGAGAGAGTGAGTACAAGTGAAAATTACTGTGTGTGTTGCTTTTTAATATTAGCATGTGAAATATTTTATATTGGAGGTAGGATCGAAGGGGTAGTTTTTTGTGTGGATTTTGGAGGAACTCGCACTGGGAGGTTTATTGTTTTGAAGAGAGAGAGAGAGAGAGTGAGTACAAGTGAAAATTACTGTGTGTGTTGCTTTTTAATATTAGCATGTGAAATATTTTATATTGGAGGTAGGATCGAAGGGGTAGTTTTTTGTGTGGATTTGGGAGGAACTCGCACTGGGAGGTTTATTTTTTTTTAAGAGAGAGAGAGAGAGAGTGAGTATAAGTGAAAATTAGTGTGTGTGGTTTTCTCAATATGATTAGGTTAAATATCTTCTATTTGAAATAGTATTAAAGGGGTAGTTTTTAGTATAGTTTCGATAAGGAACTCAAACTTTTATATGACAGAGGAAATTTTCATATATATACGAGAAATGCCAGACAATTTTAAGCAAAGGTGCACCATCATAAATAAAAATATCTTAAAAAATGTTAGACTTCCTTTATTACTACAAAAACTAAAAGTAAAACCGTTATAGAGAGTTATATTAAGTAGAACCGTTATAGGCTTAACAAAAAATAAATTTGTACAAAGAAGATACTTTCACAAAGACTTAAACTTGAATCTTATTTGTAAAGAAGAAAAGGTTTTGTCTATTAAAATGAATCTTTTCAGTTATTTTTTATTCGATTAATTTTGTATATATAAATCAGTTATATTTAATTTATTCATAATTGTGTATTACGATATTTGAAATCAAACTGAAGTGCACAAATCAATCTATGTCCATCAGATAAATTATTCTAGATTGCTTTCGTAAAGCAAAATTTATTTCTTAAGGAACCATAGCACTAACAACTTCGAGCAATAATATACATCGCTTCTTGGCACTCGAAGGGTTAATAATAGCATAGATTTTACAATCTTTTAGATAAAGAAATCTCTCTTCCTCAAACTCCAAAATAAAATTCATGCAGCGATCAACCCCCAACTAAGTCCTGTTTACCCTCTCAAATTTCTACCCGCGATTCTGTTTGTCACCCCCAAAGCAATTCATGAATCTTTCCCAACGCCATCGATCCTAGTCCACATCGTCGAAGGTTAAGAGCCCTCTGCGTTCGCTCGGCCAATCCTTCAATTAGCATTTTCAGAACGCGGACGCGCGCGATTATCACCCTAATTATTGGAATGCAGCTAAGTAGCCGGTGGGAATTATCACCGCGTTCCACGGCGAACCAAAGACGCGAAACCCGACGCCGGTTTCAATCCCTCGCTACCAGACATTCCCGCGCGGCACGGCCTCGGAGTAACTTTCTTAATTACTGAGATTAACTTAATGGTATCGGGGCAACGATTATCGCTCGCGAGCCTCGCAATTGCCGACCAGATATAAATACACGCTGCGCACCGGCGTACCGAATTTTGATGGAAACTTTTTAACGCCTCGCGGGATAAAGCGCCTACCTACTATCGATGGATACTATTTTCTCGCGTCGACTTGTCTAGTCTCTTCGTTGTTTGAACTCGGATTTGTAACTCAGGTTTGTAACTCGGAGTTTCCATGCTTAGTTTAGTGGAATGGATTCGTGAGATTGATATTATTTATTGTTACGAGGATTTCCAATGTAAATCTAGAAAAATTAGTTCTGGAGGTGAGAGGATGAAGAAAATGAGTCTGAAGGGGTTCGTGAATTTTTTGGAGGGGCTTCAAAGTGTTTCTAATTGCTTTAGTTTTCTAATTGTGGAAGTTTTCGTGGTTGCACAGGATCACAATAATTTTTAAATAACGAATACTGGTTGAAGACTTTTGATAGAGCTCGTGTAGACTAACGGTTAAATTAAATTAAGATTGTTCCTACAGGATGTTCCTGTGATGTTTTCTGTTCTGTTTATGAATTATTTCTCGAGTTCGATTTGCGATTGTGTTCAGTGCAATTTTGCAATATTCTCGTCATTCTTATTTCTCAGTTATCTATTTTCTCGAAGTAACATGCGAAGACGAGATCTTCTAATTGCCATTTTTTAACAGGCTAATAAATGGTAAGTCATGATACAAATTCGTTGAAGCTAGGTCCACAAATATTTTCTGACATAAAACTACACAACCAAAGACCGTGATACAAGAACCTCATCCCGACATATTTTTCCTATTTATCGACTTTGACGTACAACGTAAACAACAATCAAAATTACTATTAACTTATAACCAGCCACACAAGTATACTTATACCCAACCATTGCGACATGAATATCTAATCCAACAATACTGTCATAGCCTACATTTATAACCAGGGACCAATGAAATTTTAATAGAAGCGATTTCGACGACAGAAGAAACTCTATAAGTCTGCGATACTTTAACTTACATTCACGCGGCATTCTAATTCTCATTACTCTGACCAAATATTCGAACACCTACTCTTCCATTGTCCTAAACGCGCAATTTCTGCTCGTAATCGATTAAACCTGAAAACGTCCCAACCTCCCAATCGAAATGCATAATTGATGGTCCCGTAAGGATTCACTGGGTCGACAGATATCATAATCGACCGATTTAGCCGAGTCGCGAGGTCCTATCAGCCCGGGATCCCGGATCGTATCCTCCGGTTAAGAAAACATTAGATTGACACTCACCGAAGGAGATCTGTGACAGCTGTACGTGGGACGTCGTCCTGACGTGGTTTACACCGACTGCTATTATGTATTTAGCACGTTGCCACCTGCTGGATGGAACCTAGCCTTGTTCCCAGCGTCAGCGGGCCCGTCGTTCGCGTTCCCCTCGTGCACAAAACGACTTGGGGCGTTCCACTCAGGTTCCCTTTACACCTTCGTTTCTCTTTCACGACTCCACGTCGTCTAACGACGACAAATAGCCTCGATGGACCGACCTCGACGGACAAACGATTCACGAATACATCGACCGCCGTGACATCAGTCTACTTAATTACGCCGGCTAATTGCGAGTAATTAGGAGCGATCGAGGAGCGAACGGTCGATCACCAGGGAGTCGAATAAACCTCGAAATCCTCGAAAGGAGCAGCTTCCGAAAAAAAAGTAACTCGCGGTATAACACAACGTCGCGAGATAAGGCGGGAGGCACGAACGACGGTGGAGCGTTCTTTTAATGCGATTTTAATTATTCTATTTGTCAGTGAGGCACTGGCCGATGGCTATCGCGTAATTTCGCGTTAGAACGGACACAGCAACGGTGTCACGTGTGTAATTACCCGCGGAGGATAATTAGGAGTTTATTAGAGTCCTTGTGTCACCACCGAGAGTCGGCGGTATTTTTTCCTTCGGATCGACGCTCGTCGTTGATCGATTAACACCACCTGTCCAGGCCACCTGGCACGTTTAACGCCTGCTACACGTGGGCCTCGGTAACGTAACTTCTCAAACAGTCCTCCCAGCACTCCAAAAATCGCGAAAAGAAACCTCTCGGCACTGTCCGACGATAGTCAATGGTCAGCCGCGACGCGCGAGTCTATGGACACCGATACGATCACGCGGCACTCGTGTCCGAAAACACGGCTCACCCAGTCACAAATTATCAGTTCACGACACAACAGTTTCTCGAGAGCGAAAAGCGAGTCCGGAATCCAAGCGTGCGTGTGTTCCTCCGTCCACGTGACGACAGAACGGCGCACGCACCCCAACGCTCTGATTCCCTGGTATCACTTTCGAGACCATACACTCGTCGATCACACCGGTGTATCACAAACAACCCTCCTCGGTAACCTCCCGGCTTCTTTTGCTACCTGGGGGTGTCTCGGCCCGCCACCGGGGTCCAACTCGAGGGCGAACTTTTCCCCGGGTTCTTCGTGGCTGGCGCGTCCAACACTTCCGGTTCTGACGGATGAAGCGCGAGGGATGATCCAAGGCGTTCGAACGACTCCACTTGGCGGTGGATCGAGGGCTGACATCCAAGGCGGGCCTCGTGTCGCTGGCAGCGTGGTGTGCACGTTGCGTGGTCGGAGCTCGGCGCGAAAACTTGGACCTGAATCCTGACGGTCCGCAGTCTGGCTGCGTAGTGGCTCCGGTTTGGAGCCGAGGGAAGGCAACCCGCCGTGGCTTCTCTCCCGCCTAGCCGGCAGCCAATGCTCGTTTCGCACGGTGGGGGTATCGTAGGCGGTACCGTGGGCGGTTACGATGCGCGGAGGTGGTCCGCGAGTTACTCCGCGAGATCCCGTTGTTATGATTGTTATGAGTGTCCGAGCTGCCTCCTGGCGAGGTGCTCTGGGGGTGGAACGCGCGCGAGAGGGACCACCGTCTGTCCCCCTTTCGCCCGTTCCCCGGCCTGTCCCGGTCTCCTACTCGCTCCTCTGTAATATAACCACCACAAGCTCGAACGAGCTCGTAACCGTGATGCAAATCAGCCCGACGGGGCTGAAGAGTACTTCGCCCGGGGGACGGACGGGAGGAGCGATCGGCGCGAAGAGGACCCGATCTCGCGGCTCCCTGCCGGTCTTCGCTGTCGAAGGACACCGGCCCGCGCCAGGCGCCTCTCGACGATGTGATTTTAAGGGCTGATCAAGCGATCGGGAAGACCTTTCGAGGACCTCGTCCCGCGAAGCGATTCTGGTACCACGAGTAGGGGGGACGGGGCGACGATGGTTCTCGAATGATCACTGCGAATCTTTTCTTTTCCTGGGGGTGGGGGATAAGGTTTGGAGAGGAGATTTTGGGAAGCGAGACTCAGATGTTGTAGGAGAAGCGAAGAATTTTAGTTTTGAGGAGAAATTAGAGGTGGTTTTAGGGGTGAATTGTACTGTGGTTTTGGTTTGATGGAAATTTAGATGATTAGATGTTATTGGGAATCGAGACTCGAATATTCTAGAAGAATCGAAGAATTTTGGTTGCGAGGGGAAACTAGGGGTGGTTTTAAGGGGCGGATTGTACTATGGTTTTAGTTTGATGGAAATTTAAATGCTTAGGAATTATTGAGGACCAAGACTGGAATGTTCGAAAAGAATCGAAGAATTTGAGTATTAAAAGGAAATTAGGGGTGGTTTTAAGGGTGGATTGTACTGTGGTTTCAGTTTGAGGGAAATGTAGAAGCTTAGAAGTTATTGAGGATCAAGACTCGAGTGTTCAAGAAGAATCGAAGAATTTTGGTTTTGGGAAGAAAATAGGGGTGGTTTTAGGTGTGACCTTAACTATAGTTCTTGTTTGATGGAAATTTAGATGCTTAGAAGTTATTGAGCTTCAAGACTCGAAGTTTCTAGAAGAATCGAAGAAGCTTGATTTTGGGGCTTGAGGGGTGGTTTTAGGTGTATTTTTGGTGTCCATGGTTTCATGTGATGGAAATTATCAGTTATGACACCTGAGGGAGATGTTAGGTTGGAGCATTTGAGAGTCTGTTTAATAAGGCTTAGTGGAATGAGTAGATACATAATACAATTTTGTAAAATTGAACCCAAGTTACCTTCACTCGCTTGAGACGTTACTTTATATCAAACTTTGCAATGGGTGCTTTCTAAAAAATACAGGACTCCATTTTACCATAAGTGATCTTCACTTAAATTTCACCATAACTCCTATCAAGCTCTAGATAACTATTAGAACGGATCTCCGTTGTTGGTGAGTTTGATCTAAGGTCTTCGCATATAGGAAACTGTTTCCAACTTACAGACGCACTTAGGGTATCTAGTTTACCAGCAGACGAAGGGCAAGAGCCAGCTATTTGCATGACATCTCGCATAAATGGAGTGGGTAGATTCATCTCTACTTCAAAGAAATTATGGCTACTAAAATACCTATTTATCATTGATAAGAATCTATAGGAAATGGATTGAATATATAGAAAAGACGTCATCGAGTTAGGTATTGATTAGACACGAGACATTTAACACTCCGACGCATAATTTAAAAAAATATAACGTTACGTCAAAAATCTACTCAAAGTATCGCCCTTGTCATCGAATTAGGGGGTTGATTAGATACGAGATATTATCTGTACTTAAAAGAAATTATGGCTATTGACATACTCCTATTTATTATTTATATAAATCTATAAAAAAACAGATCGAATATATATAGAAGTGACGTCATCGAGTAAGGGCTTGATTAGACACACTTCGACGCATAATTGAAACAAAATACAACGTTACATCAAAAGTCCATCCGAAGCATCGTTCTTGTCATCGAGTCAGAGGGTTGAGACATTCCACCACGCCATGCCATAATTTAAACAAAACACAACGTTACGTCGAAAGTCTAGCCCCTGTCTCTAAATGTCCCCTAGCTATCCATCAATTTTCACCCCTAGACTGCTCCGAAACCGATCTCCACCGGCGATGGTCAACATAATCCCGAACATTTATTTCCAAAATGAAGATGAATCAACTGTCCATCATCATCCCTCCCATACGTTCCCCATTCAGTTCTCAAGGCTAGACACGTTAACGCCCCCTAAACACTCGCTGATCATCACTTGTATGCTCGAAAAAAATCTGGTAATCGACGCCATCTCATCGCGTGACGTATCTATGTCTATCCGCGCCTATCGTTCTCGATCTCAAGGACGTCCCCCGAATTATCTATATAATCCGTGCTCCTTAAGTATGTATCCTATCAATTGCAAGTCACAGATGCACTCCAATTATCTGCGTGTCTGGTCGGGGCTGGTAGGCCCGCAGTCATTAATTTTGATAAATCGTCGTGCACAGAAGTCGGAGTTCGTCGACATTGATCCACTGTCTCATTTATCTTCAGGGGTGCGATGAACCCCTGGACTGGTAATTGCAACGGTGCCGGCCGATAGCGCGCCATTTTCGTTTTCGTTCTGTCACGGAACGCGAATCGGAATGACGATCGTTCGCCAAGACGAATGGAAGCGTTTCGGTACACCGTGGTTGCTGCCGTAGGGATGTTTTTGCACCTTTTAATAGAATAATAGTTAACTTAACGCTTTGCACTCGAGGAATTTTTTTCTGGTATCTACCAGCAACTCGCGATGTTTCTTAGCATTCTATTGAAATGAATGTTAAGCTGTCTAGATTTGAGAATAAGGTCACCTTTACCTTATCGACAATCATTTTATTGACACTTCGAGAAATTAAAGAAATTAAACGTAAAGAAACATGAGGTATTGTAGATTTGCTACGTGAAACCTAATGGTGACTGAGAGTCTGCCTATTACTGACCGTTTCTACTTACTTTGGTATCAGGAGCAACGATGATGGTACACTTGTTATATTTGTGAACCGGTTTCACCTAGTTACAAATTCGGTCTTCGAGCTCCAAAGAAATTAAACCTAAAGAAACATTAGGTATTGTAGATTTGCTGCGTGAAACCTAATCACGCCTCTCAAGTCACCTCTCGAGTGCAGAGGATTAATAGTTTGATGTTTCTATCTTTAGAAACGATGCTAGATTAATTCTTAATAATTGTTTAGAAACGATCTGGAAGAATTCTAATTATAAACAATTCAGTTTAAGAATACTTTGGTGTCTGAGTTGCTGAGATACTTGAGAAAGGGTGCACGAAAATTTGAGTGATAGTACAAATTTTTTCTCTACGTAAACCCTTAACCCCTTAACCTATAAGTACGTGCGAGACTCGTAGACTTATATTTGGGCCAATTGTAAATATTACGGGCTTGGCACCGTAGTACATCGGTCGCGTCAATCGTAAACATTACGGGCATGGCCCGTAGTACGACGGTCGCGATTTGTAACGTGATCACAATCAGTTACATGTTATTCTTGGTCGCTAATTTTTTATTACTGATTTTTGTATAAATTCTAATAATGTTTTTGATTTATGTTATATTTTATTAATTGATAATAAACCTTTTGTAGTATTATATCTACCACAATTATTATTATACATCAGGTTGTAATTACTTACGAAATATTTCACAAAATTAAACCAATTGTATATTACACGTACAGTAGTGCGCGATTGGTACAACTTAGGACCGATATGCCGACCCGCGGAATAGCTCGAAGGCTGAGCGATCTTGTTTACGTTTTGGGCCCAGGCTGTTGGAACGTAAATCGTAGGTTAAGGGGTTAAGAATCTATGAGAAACAGATTAGAATATAGAAGAGACGTCATCGAGTTAGGGGTTGATTAGACACGAGACATTCAACGCTCCGACGCATACTTTAAACAAAATATAATGTTACGTCAAAAGTTCTTTGTCTCTGAATGACCCTTAAGGTTCCGGAAGGGGCGGCAAGTGCTTCGCAAATTTTTTTTTAAATGGGAATCCGCGCGTGAAGATTTGTACATTCACAATTTTCAACTCGAAAAGCACTCGCCAGTGTAAAATATTTACACTAAATATACTTTCTGTTTCTATTAGGTTGTTCCAAAAGTTTCTTTCGTAATTTGCACTCAATTATTTTGTGTGGTAGTGTTTATATAAATAGACAATCTAATTTCTTACATATTGATGTTGTAACAGTAATGAGCAAAATGAATCGTACACAATTCAATAATGTAACATTAAACATAAAATATTGTGTATGTATTACTTATTAATAAAACGCAAGAAACTTTTGGGACAACCTAATATAATGAAGAAAAGTGTCAGTTCGGGCAGTAAAAATAATCTCACGCAGGGAATCCCGCGTAAATATAACAGCGTGTTTCGTATCCGAGCAGGGAACGTTTATTAAGTCCAAATTTTACCCCTTTCGAGCGACGAACCACCCTCGCCGACGCCACTATTACTGTCCGCACCCTCGGTGTTTTAATGTTCTCCCTTCAATTTCTCCGACATCGACCTCGACGATATTCCGTCGTGATTCGACCGTTGGAGGCGCGGATATATTCAGTTCGGTTGAAACATTGGCCGAAGACGTCACTTGTTTACGATCTAAACGGCGAGCTTCGAGCTTCGCCGTCGTCACGCCAGCTGACAATAAATTATCGTGGTTATTTACGCGCCTCGTTCTTATCGATCGCGCCACGCACGGAACCGTTGATTAAGTTCTCTTGGCTGTAATAAGAACATCGTGATTTTGGTTCGCGCGGACGCTTAAGTTGGGAATACTCGCGACGACCTCCGACGT